TAAAACTGAAAGCTGGCCAAATTATTCTGGTTGCCATATCTGACTGGAATAAGCACTGGTTGAAATGCTTTTACCCCTTTGTCATTGCGGTGAAATTTCTCTGAGTGCCTCGTTTGAAATGAGGTTCCTCAGTACTATGATTAGCATAATGAAGGAAACACGTGTGACGCAGTGTTCGTGATATCTCGTGGCAAACTGTCGCGGCATCACAGCTACATTAAAGTTGAGAGCGCATGTTGAACTGGAAAATGACTTTACATTATCTACTTTTGGTCATAATCTAGGCTTCCAGGCTGTTGATAACCTGAACCTTTGCAGCGCTGCCGCTCTTAGGGTCGAACTCGTAACTCAGCCACTCCTTTGCAAGTCGTCTGGCAAGCTCCTGGCCAATCACTCTCTCGCCCATACACAGAACCTGGGCATCGTTGCTCAGAATAGAGCGCTCTACACTGAAGCTGTCGTGTGCTGTTACGGCTCGGATGCCCTTGACCTTGTTGGCGGCGATAGCCATGCCGAGTCCAGTGCCGCAGATCAGAAGGGCACGATCGGCCTTGCCGTCAGCGACCATCTGTGCAGCGGCGGCGGCTCTGTGAGGATACGCGGTCTTGTCGGTGCCCTCGTGGCTACCAACATCCTCGACAAATTCTACCCTGGCATCCTTCTCAAAGTCTGCCTTGATGGTGTCTTTGTACTTGATGCCGGCCTCCTGTTCGAGGGGTTAGCGGGGTCTCATACCACGAAGAAGACGATTTCTCTTACGTCGCAGCCGACGACAATGCGGTACTTCTGGCCCGGGTTGCTACCCATTTTGATATGTTTTGATGATTCCGAGTGTGATAAGATAGGCAGGAGTGTGATGGGCGATGATGGTGCAAGATGCAGTTGTTACTTGCTTGTACTGTCAATGATTTCCCAACGATGTTTCATCCAAGACGGGATCGGGAGCTGTTTTGAAGCAGGAGAGGCAAAACGCGTCACCTGGCTGGTCGGATAATCGCACACCAGACCCGAGGTGGCGGAAGAGCGGAAAATCGGCAGTTGAAGGGGACCACACGCATGCCTGCACAGAGTAGCAGTATGAATCACACTTGCGGAAGTGTGAAGACGGGGTAGGCCAACCCCAGCTGATCTCTCATTGCGGAAATCCGGGGTGCAGCAGGCCGATTGCCCGCTAGATCCCTTGTTCACAACCGACCCCCGCACAGCCCTTATGATATTACCCACCCGTCATCCTACATTATGTCCCAAGTTCAGTCCGAACGAACTCCTGTCAGGTCATTCCATCTTCAATTCATCTGTTCGTCTTTCAGATCATCTCAAATCTTCTCCCTATTGCCGAATTTACACTTTCCTCAACCCAGACATCAGACACCATGTCAGACCGTCACATCTTCCAGTCCGCAGATGGACTGGTTGACAAGTGTCTGAGAGGCCTCATCGCCTACAACCCCTCTTTGGGCCTCGACGCCTCTAACCGCGTCGTCTTTGACACAACTTACGACAAGTCCAACATCAGCGTCATCTCCGGCGGAGGATCAGGTCACGAGCCAGCATGGTCCGGCTACGTTGGAAAGAACATGCTTGCTGCTTCCGTCGCTGGTGACATCTTTGCCAGCCCCTCAGCAAAGCAGATCTTGGCCGGTATTGAGGCTGTTCCTTCAGACGTTGGCACCCTTCTCGTTGTCACGAACTACACCGGCGACTGCCTTCACTTCGGACTCGCCAGCGAGAAGGCCAGGAGTAAGGGACACAACTGCCGCATCATCATCTGCGGCGACGACGTCTCGGTTGGCAAGAAGAAGGGCAGCTTGGTTGGCAGACGTGGTCTTGCCGGCCAGCTCGGTGTTCTCAAGGTCACTTGCGGCGCTGCCGGTGTCAAGGCCGGATCCTTCGATGAGATCTACCAACTCGGTGTTGCGGTTGAGAACGAGATCGTCTCCATCGCAGCCACCCTCGATCACTGCCACGTCCCTGGACGCACCGAACACGCTCAGCTCAAGGCTGATGAGCTAGAGATCGGCACTGGTCCTCACAACGAGCCTGGCTACAAGAAGCTTTCCCCCAGGCCATCCCCTCAAGACCTGGTCGACCAGCTCCTGGAGTACTGCCTCAAGGAGGACGACCCTGAGCGATCCTATGTCAAGTTCACCCCCGGCGACGAGACCATCCTTCTGGTCAGCAACTTCGGCGGCATCTCCTACCTGGAGCAGGGTGCGCTGGTTGACGAAGTCCTCCAGCAGTTGGAGCAGAAGTGGAACGTCAAGCCAGTCAGAGTATTCGCTGGTCCCCTCGAGACATCACTCAACGCACCTGCCTTCTCCCTGTCCCTCATGAACATCACAGCAGCCTCGAAGCAGTGCTCCTTCTCAGTTGAGCAGATCAAGGAGTTTGTCGACATCAAGACCAACACCCACTGGGAGTCCATGGCCGGAGCCCAGACCGTACGACGCGATCGCAAGTCCCAAATCGTCCACGCCGCCCCCGAAGAACCCAAGACGATCGATACGAACAGCGACGTGAAAATGGACCCCGCGATCCTGAAGTCCATGCTGCGTGCGGCTTGCTCTGCAGTGATCGACGCCGAACCCGACATTACAAAGTGGGACATGATCATGGGGGATGGAGACTGTGGAGAAACCCTCCAGACTGGCGCGTCGCACCTCCTGGAGGCACTGGACAAGAAGGGCGTCGCCGATGGCGGCTCTATTGTCGCTGTCTTGCATGAGCTGGAAGACATCGTCGAGAGCAAGATGGGTGGCACACTGGGCGGCATATTGGGCATCTTCTTTGTGTCCCTGTGCAATTCCGTCAAGGAGAACGCGCCCCTTGCCAAGTCCAAGGGCATCCTGTCTGTCTGGCAATTGGCCCTCGCTTCCGCGCTGGAGCACCTCAGTCACTACACCCCCGCGAAGGTAGGCGACCGCACAGTCCTCGACGTCCTGATCCCCTTCGTGGAGAGCATCAGGAACGGAGGCTTCGACTCCGCCGTCCAGGCGGCTGTCGACGGCGCGGAGGCAACTAGAACCGCAAAGGCAAAGCTCGGTCGGGCGACGTACGTTGGAAGCACGACGGAAAATGGAGGTGCCCAACCCCCCGACCCCGGCGCGTGGGGTGCGATGGTGGCAATCAGGGGTTTGCAGACTGGCTTGGCGTAATTGGTACGCGAGAACTCGGATATTCAAAATTAGCGATTAATAGAGTAAGATTCCTCCACTTTTGTGCCTCCCTCTCAACAATCATTCTGACATCAGTCTGTAGATAGGTAGCGGCTGGTGTTTCCCAATTCTAATTGTTGAACCAAAAAAAGATGGACACACAAAGATGGAGCTCCCGGCGTGTCACGTAATGGCCAAATCATTCGAGGCAAAGAAAGCAAGCCCAACGTCTCCGAGATCCCCGTTGATGCGGAAAAGGGTTTGCCACACTTCCGCCGCCTTCGTGTTGAGTTTTTGATACACACCTGACCTCACGTCTTATCCCGAACAGAGTATGCCGCGTGGGGCAACCCCTCCCCAGACTCCGAGCATCGTCGTTCGAGACCAACAAGTGCCTGAGTGGTTGTTTCTCGGTGATTTCAGGCTGTTTGCGCCGGATTACCCGATTAGGAAACCCGAGGGCTGAAGCCGGTGTGGACGCCCGGGATCCGTGGTTGGTTGGTTCATCTTTCCCGCCTGGAACGGCCTTTGAGCTTGGGTGGAGAGGGGTTCCATGCGGAGTCCGGGGTGTTCGCGGGGCATTTGGAGGGAAGACGGGGTCTCGTGAGGCTCCTGTGATCGGACGACCCGCCGGGGAACTGGGAATGTTGAGCCCATCTCCTTATTTATGGGTTTTCTTGGGCAGCTAAACCAAGTCTAGCAGTTCCACCATGAGACAAGTCTGACCAGATCGTGCATTACACTCCGGACGGATGCTGATTCAGGGTCCAAGGGGCAAAAGGGGTTGGGTTGACAGCAGCAGCAGCAGCAATCAACACAAGCGAGCACAGCTGACGAGGAGCTCTGAGCTTCACACAGAACAGCTAGCTGTGTCTTTGAAATACGGATCCCCGGATTGTCACACGCCCAATACTTCGCCTCGTTTATCCACAATACCGGTGGACCGGACAGTTCACCGCGTTCTGGCCAGAACCTTACCTTGAGCCATCCATGGCAACGTCACCCATCCATCAGTGCTGTTTTGTTGGTTTGTGCCCGTTGGCTGGGCTGTTATGCGCTAAACCAGGGGGAGATCCTGCGCTTACACCTTCCCCTCACATCGTCAACTTTTTTTTGGCAGCACGATCGGCATAAACGGACGCGGTCGGTCGACACCCCGAACCGAACCGTGACGTGCCCCTCACCTCACGATGTTTTTTGCTGTGTGCAATTGGGGAGCATTTCTGGTCTGCAGCTATTTTTGAGTCTTGACCTTAGTCGAGTATCAGCGCTTCTTCTTTGCTCTGACACCCACCTCCCTCGACTTACGATACCCAATTGCTCGAAACGACGATGCCCCCCGACCGACATGCGAGCCGAGCCAGTTTTGCATGCACTCGTTGCAAAAAAGACAAAAGACGATGTGATATTTCCCAGGTTTTGAGTGAAGGAGGGAGATCTTGCACCCTATGTCGGAACAAGAATGAGAAGTGCGAGGTGCGGTATGGCGAGGACAAGCGCAGTCATCGCCGACCGAGCGAGTCCAAGGCACTGCACCAGCGGATGCAGGCCCTAGAAGAATTCGTGAGGAATGCCTCCCGGGTTGACGGTCAATCATTTGGGATCTTCAAAGACGACGACAGCTCCAGGAGCTTGAGGCAATTCTCTTTTCCAAGCCCTGCAAGCTCTTCTAGTCCTGGCACACACACAAGGACTGTTTCGATGCCCTCTTATGAGAAGCCAGAGACTTGGATCACAACGCCCCGAGCCGAACCTACACCAAACTCCCTCCGATCTGAGTCGGTGTCGAGCGATCATATCCCATACAGTGAGCCCATCCTTGAGCAATTGAGCTTCCCTTCGGCAATGGATGAGGCCATGCCAGAAGAGGGCGCCGCAGAGAATGATGCATATTTGGGATACACCAGCATGTTTCCTTACTTGGAAGATAATGCTGTTGCAAGAAGTTCCGAAGCCACCGGCCCTGCACCTCTTGCTAATAGACAGCCTTGCGTACCATCTGAAGTACATCCAGAGCCAGAACCCATTGTCGCGCATCTTCTCGACCTCTTTTGGCAGTGGCAGGCGCCTCATTTGCTCGCGATCGATCGCGACTTGTTTGTCCGCCATCGGAAGCTTTGGGACGACAGTGGAGGCCAAGGCGACCGCAATTTCTACTCTCCTACTCTACTGTACGCGATACTTTCGCTGGCTTCGATGATCAGTCTTGATAAGGGTGTTGTGCGTTACTCTGCATCATCTGGCGGACTTGCTGGCGACAATTTTGCGACAAGTGCGTGTCAGCTGCTTGACTTAGAGCTTGAGCACCCAACCATCACAACAGTCCAAACAGCCTTGATCCTGGGCTCTAGGTTTGAGGCAGCAGGGCATACCTCTCTGGGCTGGATGTACAGTGGTGAGTTTCCATAGTCCGAAATGCCTTCGCTAGACACTAACCAAGGATCTGCTCTTCAGGGATGGCATTCAGGATAGCTAGCGACCTGAGGTTGCATCTTGACTGCTCAAAAGCGTTGAGGTCTGGGAGAATGAGCTCAGATGAGGCGAGACTGAGGCAAAGAGTATTCTGGGCATGCCATCAAGCAGATGCGTAAGTGCAAAGAAAAGCTATGTATGCTCCTACCTTTCTGATGCTGACATTCTCTCCCAGTCTGCTGAGTACTTGTCGTGGGCGACCACCTACATTCAGAGATGACGATATTACGCTATCCGTACCAGAACGACAAGCCGAGAAGAAAGTTGGCGGCGATGAAGAATGCTCTCTATGCTATCTCCATGCATCTTCAACTCTGTCTATTTTATGTTCAAAAACCCAAACTATGATTTACGGTGAAAGGAACCGACGAACACCGAGCGAGCTGAGATCATTAGCTCGGCGATTGCATGAGGAGTTGTGGCGGTGGCATCGGATGTTGCCACAAAGGTTCAGATGGTCCAGCGACGAAAGCGTCAAAACATCGTCAGAAGTCTTGATCCTGCAGTATGTCCCCAAAAACCTGCTTCATCGCCAAAGAATCACTCTAAGTTGCTAACAATGGTTTTTGTTCCAGCATGACTTTCTACTTCAACCTCATCATGCTCCATCGACCTTTTATGAACCATTCTAGAGTCGCCACAGACCTCGACATGCAAGCTTCTGCCTCTTTCAACCCAATAACCGCGTCCTGTGAAGCTGCGACGAAAATAGCAAAACTTGCTTTTGCCTATCGAAACCTGTACAACATCAAGCAGATGTCACCATCTGCAATTCACTTCGTTTTTATTGCTGGAACCATACATCTCATGAATAGCCGCCTGGGCGGGGAGGCAATCCATGATCAACCTCTTCAAGGCTGCATGGAGGTGCTTTCAGAGATGAGCAACTCATATCCGACATCCAAAAAAGCGCACCAGATTCTCCGGGACATGATTGAGAACTGGAAAACCTCTGAAAAATCCAAGGATTGCAGCCAGGTTGTTCGTTCTAGCTATACGCTCCATGATGTTCCAGTGGAGACTACAGATCAAAGATCAAATTTCCAAGTTGCAGGCACCATAGGCAGCAAGGCCGGGGGTGCACAATCAGAGACGACCACAAGTCACAGATGCTTGGATGCGTCATCGCCGACTGACATCCTTCACGACGTCAACCTATACGATCAAATCACACTTGGGCAGGGCGGTAACAACTGTGGTTTCCTAGGCTCCGGAATGGAGTGGTTTTCGGATAACGACCTTTTCGAAAGCATTGCCGGGGCCGACAGCTCTTTTTCATACGCATAGGAGCGATCATTAAGTTTAATGAATATGTCTTTGTAATGTGGCCAAGGCCTTTGTAGACAAAAGAAAGTCGTCTGAATTTAAGAGCATGTCGTGTTATGACACCTACCAAAACGCCGTGAGAACAATGCCCTAAATTCAAGAGGATCAGGTCCTTTGTCATAATGGATGCGCATACACCAGACCCCCTCTCCCGGATAATCAATAAACACCCACCCTATTCAATCGTCTCAAATATACAAGCCTCTTCGCATCTCAATGGGGGTTTTGTCTCCTCATGAAATCGATCCAGTACTGAACGTCGATAGAGCTAGAGCCTCCGTTACTTGCATCGCTATCAGATTCGCCTGTGTGTCCTTGCCACCGAGCTTCTTCGAAAAACGAGCTGCTAGAGGTGTCAGTCGAACCATCATATCCTATAAAAGGGACGCTTGTATCGCTCGGAGTCGGGTACGCGGTGCTGTTGAATGAGTCAATTGATGGAATTCCTGAAGGCGGATAGACGGTGCTGTTGAAAGAGTCAATTGACGCATTCCCTGAGTCCGTATAGACGGTGCTGTTGAACGAGTCAACTAAGTGATTGCTAATCTGAGGCGAAGTGGAGGAGGCATTTGAGTTGGGCGGACAGTCAAATGGCGCGTTCCACGGACGTTGATTGTTGGCGTCAAACTCCAGTCGCTGCAGGGCAGGGTATTGGGACATAAATTGTTGTTGCATGTTGTTGGCTTCGCTGCGCAGAGTTGAGAAGACATTTAAGAACGTGGCTGCGTAGTGACTGGAAGTTGTCTCATGAATTCTTCGCAGCTCCCGATACTCCCGGCTGGCCTCTTGGGCGACCCACTGACGCAATAAGCCATTGGACGGGTTCGCAATCCCTGGCCGAAGGTCCGGCATCAAGACTGTGTTGACAATGAAGCTGTTACGCGAGTGGCAGGTGTTGCATAGTCCACCCTCGTTAGGGTTAGCGGGAAACGAAGTCGGCGGTGGTACATCAACCTGGTTTAAAACGTACACCCGGAGTGGTACAAAGCAATCTTCGCAATCCAAAGGGCGACGGCAGTAAGGACATGGGAGTGGAATGAAGTCTGCATGCCGCCTCCACTCGGTCAAGCAGTCAAGGCCGATGAGGTGGCCGCAAGGCAGAACGGCGGCCAGTTCCTGATGATCGTGAGGGCCGGCAGGGTAGTGTTCGGAGCTGAACGGCACCGAAGTCAGATTGTGGCAAGCACAGCAAGGAATCTGTATCTCGGTGTTACGGTGCTCCTCAGACGATCCGTTGACGTAATCCTGGTGAAGTCTCTCGAAGTAAGGTCTGATGTTGGGCCAATAGTCGTCTCGGATAATTGTATGCTGCGGTGCATTGTTTTGTACGATGTTATTGTCGTTGTTGTTGCTGTTGTTCGCGAACTGATCGATTGCCGTTGGTCCGCCTACAATTTTCCCGTGGTCTTCACCATGATTTTCATCACCATCCGCCTGCGGACCTTCCTCGTTGTCGGTCATGTGGCCATCCTTGTCAGCAGGACCATTAGATTTCTGCGGCTCATTATTGTCTTGATCTTCGTCGGGGTCGGTCATCTCTTCATCACCTTCATTGTCCTTGTCTTCATCCTGGTCTTCATCCTGGTCTTCATCCTGGTCTTCCTGGTCTTCGTTTTCATCTGCTTGGTCTTCATCGTCATCTTCCTCGTTGTTTTCACTCTCCCCTGAGTCATCCTCCTCAAGTCGGGGCTTCTTCGGCGACGGCGGTGGCGATTCAGAATGACTACGACTGCGCTTGCCGTTCGAATTGATCTCATCTTCATCGCTTTCCCCCTCGTCATCGCCGTGGTTCTCAACATTGCCATTGTCTTGACCTTCGTCGTCATTGTCATCGTTCTCGTCGGCGTTTTCACTGACGTCTTCATTCTCAATGACCTCTTCGCTCTCGTCCTGCTCGCCTTCCTCCTCAACGTCATCATCATCATCTTCTTCTTCTTCTTGCTTCGCAGCCTCAGCTGCTGCCTCTGCCGCCGCCTTTGCTGCAGCTTCAGCTTCAGCTTCAGCTTGTTCCCTTCTCCGTTGCGAACGGGTCTTCATATGGTGAGTGGACGCAGCAGGCGGATTCGTTTTTCTGGGAGCCATTATGATGTCAGTCGAAAGGTTGCTTGCTTTCTTGTGAAGATAGTCCGTGTGAGATGATAAGAGCTAGCTTAGCTCGCTTGTGCTGGTATGGTAAGTGAGTTGAATATGCCTCCGGGGCTGAAATATAACTTCTGAAGAGGCTTTGGTAGTCTTGTTGGTGGTCGATTCGAGCCTGTCGATGTCCTGAGAATTGTTGTTCTGATGAGTGTGGGGAGGATAAAATGGATGGGAATGCATCAGTGTCGTTCATGACAAATTAAATACCAGATGCGCGGCCTACTTGGATTTCATCTCATTGACATTGTTCGTCTAACACTTTACTCCATGAAAGAAACTACCTGGTGTTGTTTAAGGAACATCTTCTTGAGACTGATTCCCTATTTGAGCCCGGGACAATCCTATTGTGATTTCTCTTTGAACTAAGTAACGCAGCTTCAATAGTATTGGGCATTCTACAATAACAGCGTTGTGTTCAATATTATGCTGAGTTCGACAAAGCAGTTGAGTAAGGAGATCCTTTTGTCGAGGCAAGACCTGGAATGTCTTTGTCAACCGTTATTCATCAACCACGAGTGTCCAGCGAGCCGAAGCCCAGCCGACGAAGGGTCTCGCTCCGACATTCTTCGTCATGCAATTCGGATATGAATTTCATCTACGCGGGCGACGGCGCATGAGCAGGAAGTGAGCCTATTGGCCGTCGGTCGTCCCCCACATCGTATTCCCAATGATCCCGGCCAACAACGGAGCTGAGCCCACCACGCTCTGCGATCTCGGCGCCTAATTCGCGCGTTTATTCGACATTTAACTCTCTTTCTAGCCCGATCAGTATCCACCACGCAAGTGGGCGACAATATTACAGGCCGAAGCCATCTTATCAGATCGTCTGATTATTCTTGACCTTGGTTCAGCTGGCGCGGGCGACCAGGAGGCATGTTTGGCGGAACCGGAGACTCTGGAATCCATTACATGATTTTTCCAGCGTGATCGGTCGCAAGGTGCTTCCTCTGAAAGGGTCTTGGACGAGCAAGCATGTTCCTGCCAAGACTTGGCCGGCGAGCTTCTGCCTCGACCTTCCCGATTGAGGGTTACATCGAGCCAAGATAACACCATTCTTCAGTGGGATACCTTCTTGCCTGCAGATATTCAATATACAGCTTCCACGACTAGGGACTTGCATGCTCTCGCATTTGTCACTCGCTGATGCGTCGGCCGTCAAGCGCCGAGATGCTGCGAGCATGGCATATATATTGACCTGCCACCGTGCACCAACCGAAGAGCTTGCGACAGGAGGAACCACTTCACGTCCGTCTGACTCTTAGGTCAAGCTTCCTACGGTTGATTCAAGATGCGTTGGACTTTCGGTTCTCTGGTGGTCTCGCTCCTCTCGAGCTCCACAACCCTCGCGGCCGATGTCCCCGCCGTTGCTTTGGGTGACAAGAAGCCCTTCGCGCCTCCGAGCCGACGATTCGCTGTCCAGTTCTCGACAACTGGTTCCGCGAAGTTCAGGAAGCGTGACGGGACTCCTGTAAGTATCAGAATGCCATGCGTAGACTTCATGGCTGATGAGTACAGGACACCGAGGGCTTCTTCGAGAGTCTCCAACTCACCAATAACACCGCCAAACCCGCCTTGAATTTCACCTCGGAGATCTTCCACGGCGCCTCGTTCGACCTGCTCAACCACACTGCCACCTCCCTCCAACAGATTGAGGAGCTCCCCGAGGTCGAGAGACTATGGCCCGTCTCCGCTGTCTACGCACTCAAGCCCAACGCATCGGACGTCATGTCGGAGCCCGAGGCCAAATGGGACCCTCACGTGCTGACGGGAGTCGACAAGGTGCACAAGCTGGGCCACTCCGGCAAGGGTGTCGTCGTAGCCATCATCGACACGGGCATCGACTACAACCACCCCAACCTCGGCGGCGGCTTCGGTGCCGGATTCAAGGTCGAGGGCGGGTACGACCTGGTAGGTGACGACTATGAGATCGGTGGGGAGTATATGCCCGACGACGACCCGATGGACTGCGCTGGCCATGGCACTCACGTCGCTGGTATCGTCGCGAGCTCGCATGAAGATCTGCCCGGTGTCGCGCCTGATGCCAGACTGAGGATCTACAAGGTTTTCGGATGCGGCGGAAGCAGTATGGAGGATGTCATTGCCCAGGGCTTCATCAAGGCTCATGAGGATGGCGCTGATATCATCTCTGCTTCGCTTGGCTCGAACGCCGGGTTTCCTGAAAACATTCTTGCGGTCGTGGCGTCGAACATTCAGGCCAAGGGGACGTTTGTCACAGTTGCTGCCGGCAACAGTGGCGAGATGGGTCCTTTCTACACAAGCAGCGCCGCCAATGGCTTCGGTGTCACCGCTGTCGGCAGTGTTGAGCACACTCAGACTGCTACATTCAAGGTCACCGCTCGCTCCAGTGGCAACGAGACCCGTGAGATTCTTTACGTGAGCTCCGACACCGCTCAATGGTCCAGAAATGGAAGCTTTCCTGCCCACTTCCTTGACCAAAACTACACCGGTCTCGACTCCTGCGACGTCTGGGAGTTTCCGGATGTTTCTTCTGACAGCGTCCTCATTCTTCCCCGGAGTGCTTGTATCTGCGAGTGCTGGCAAGTCCTTGACTCTAACCTCTTCGGCACAAGCGTCAAGTGGGTGTTCTACTACAACTTCAAGAATGCCCCGTGGGAAATCCCCAACCGCGGGGTCTACAATCCCGAAGAGCAACCCCTTGGGTTCGGCCTCATCAGCTACGAAGATGGACAGTGGCTCGTCAAGCAGCAGGAACTTGGCCGTAAGGTAGATTTCGAGTTCGTCGCCAACGGAGGCCAGGCCGTGGGTATCCCAGGAGTGAACTCCGAGTCCATCGCCGGTGCTATTGACTTCTTCTCGTCTTGGGGCTTGACAGTAGACGGACGTCTCAAGCCTGAGATCTCTGCGCCGGGTAGGTCTATTCGTTAAGCGTACCATCGAGTATACTAATGTCGGCCAGGTGGATCTATCTTGTCTACTTACCTCACCTCTGAAGGTGGATGGGCTGTTCTCTCTGGAACGAGCATGGCGACCCCATATGTAAGTCAATCCCTCATCACAATGTCAGTATCAGTGCCTAATGAATATCAACAGATCGCCGGTGTCGCAGCCCTGTATTTCTCCGCCAACGGTGGCCGGGCCAGCATCGCCGATGCGGGTAACTCTGCCCACCACCTGATCACGTCAAGCGGAAACCCGGTGGCTCACCACGATGGAAGTGTTTCCCTCGCGTAAGTCCTCCCCTCCGTGAATTCTCAACGAAGCTAACGATTTCAGACCCATCCCGATGCAGGGCGCAGGCCTCGTCGACGCCTTCAAGGTGATCACATACAAGACCTCCATCACCCCCGCGGTCCTCAACCTCAACGACACCGACCACTTCCAGGGAACCCACGAGGTCACTATCCAGAACAGGGGCAACGAGACCGTCACGTATCACATTGCTCACCAGGCCGGGTCTACAGTCACCACCAAGCCCGACGGCGATCCCGTTGTTGCCTTCCCCCCGGTGCCGTACTCGTCCAAGGAAGAGGAGCTCGCCACGGTCACGTTCTCCACGTCAACCCTGGAAGTCGCAGCGGGTGCAACTGGCACATTCACGGTGACCTTTGTCGAGCCCGCCGGAATCGATGCCAGTCTCTTCCCTGTCTACGGCGGCTGGATCAACATCATCGGCTCCAATGATGAGACTCTCCGCGTTACATATGCCGGTACGTTGCCTTGGACTTCTCCGTCCTTTTTCTACACGACTAACACTCATCTCGTAGGTATCAAAGGCAGCGTCTATGGCAGCAACATCTGGGCCGACGGCTGGATCGACCCCGTCGTCCAAACACCAGACTTCGTCCTCGTCAAGGAGAACGACACCTTCAAGATGACAATCGAGGACACCTTCACCATCGACTTTGACATTCTCTGGCCCACGCGCGAGTTCTCCTTTGACGTACGCCCCACACCCCATTTCTGCACCTCACCAGACCTTGAACTAACACAACCCCAAAACAGCTCGTCGACCCGACCTGGGAGCCCAGTGACTGGGCCTACCCCTTCGTACCGGGCCAGAACAAGTATATCGGCTCCCTGCAGCACTACAACCTCATCTCGGACGCGTACTTTGACGCTCCCGTACAGCAGTACCCGCGTCTGCCGTCCAGCACGTGGTGGCCGAGCGGCAACTACTCCCACGGCGGCGCGGTCGAGAGCGGCGAGTACAAGATCTTGTCGAGGGCGTTGAGGACGTATGGGGATTATCACAATGTCAGTGATTGGCAGATTAGGGTGTCTCCCAAGATCATCGTGGACAAGAACAAGGCCTGATAGTAGTACAATATCGGATATAGCAATGAGACTGCCTGCGTTCTGTCACTGTGACTATCCTTTGTACAGGTCTTAATGATATGACTATTTGAAGATAGTGAAGATCGTAGCAGCAACCATAACAATGCTTACTGAATCGTACTCAATACCACGACTAACACACACATCCATGAATCCTCTTCAAACCGGATCAGTCTCCGCCTCATCCACAACAACCTCCTTCTCCCTCACTCCCCACGCCTCCGGCCCGATATACCTCTTTGGCCAAATATTCATCGCCGTCTTCAGCCCCTCCGCCAACGGCAAGCCCGCATGCACAACCCTCTCGTCCCCCGTCCCATTCGCATGCAAATTCACCCAAAACACCGCATTCCCCCTGACCGGCTTAAACGCCAGCCCGCCCTTCTCAAACCTCCTCCACGGCGCCGCCCCCTCCTCCGCCTTGTCCTGCGGCGCCACCGCCTCAACCTTCGGAAACCACGTCTCTCCGCCCACACATTCATCTTCCAGAATCGCAAAGAAGCTCGCGACCCGGTTCCACCTCCTATCCCTGCCCCCCGCGCGGTCCGGCTGGAAGGTGTCGTACCAGTCATGGTGCACATTAAACCGCTGGCCCGCGGTGTAGCGTACCAGCTGCGGCGGGCCCA